ATACAGAGGAAAACAAAATATCTCTAAAGGACAACACCTGGTTTCAAATACAGTAAACACTCCCATAAGACACCATAGCAAAAACAAAACTAAAAATGACTAAACTAAAACAAAAACAAAACTAAAAATGACTAAACTAAAACAAAAACAAAACTAAAAATGACTAAACCCGGTATCTCCTGGAAGTTATCTCTTATCAGATACCCAGTTTGGGTTGAAAGACAACACTTGGTCTCACATGACAGAATCTCCGATAAGAGGCCATCTCCAGGAGAGACCACCAAGTTTAGCCATGTTTAAGAGTCTCATGTGATAGATTCTACTATATATATATATATGTCATAATATATGCTCTTCCAGGATTAATAAAACAAACCAACAGCCAACGAGAGAGAGATGAGCAGCTAAAGCGAGACACTTTAGACAACTAACTTACGACCATTTTTGGCCACATTCCTGAGGGGGGGGGGGGGCCGTCACCACCTGGCGACTATCCTGGTTAGCCCCCCGGTTGTGTACACAGGGAAAACAGTCGTTCAGCGGACAGCGCGCTCGCTACCTTTTTCGCTCTCGTCTGGCTGCCTGGATTATTGCTCTACAAACTCGTCGTGTGATTATTTCTCACCTCACCACATCATTACCACTATATGGTCACATATATATATATATATATATTATATAAAAATGAGAATTTCTTAGGTTGTTAAAGGGTACATGAGTGTGTTTCTTGATATTGCTTTATAGTCGTTGAAAAATATTAATTAATATTTATCTTTAATTAATATGATAACATAATTGAGAATGAAATAATACCTTGACGGCGGGTAGTAAAAGAAAAAAAAACTATTTACATAATTACATATAGTGTGAGCCGGCCATCGGGAAACAACAACGATCAGTTTTATATAGGGAACATCTGATGGTAGATATAAACAGAATATTTGAATCTATGAAATATAATTTTAAATAAAATACTTTTATATAACATATATACATGTGATATTTGAAACAGTTTAATGAACACATTAACAGAGTTTTGAAACATACCAGACAGAGAGGTATTAAATATTTTATATACAGTAGAACTACCTTTCTCTAAAGGATAACGTCTAGTAGCAAAGCCAAAATATCCTTTGGAGAAGAGTTATTTTACCGAAGATGTGCTAAATACTAAAAATGTTAATTTTGGTGAATGAACTCTGTAGAGAGGTGTTCTCTAGCGGGAGTGTCCTCTCATGTAGGTTGTTCTACTGTATTGGTGATAGAAACTGTCCTTTGTAGAGAGGTGTTCTCTATCGGAAGTGCCCTCTCATGGAGGTTGTTCTACGGAATTGGTGATAGAAACTGTCCTTTGTAGAGAGGTGTTCTCTATCGGAAGTGCCCTCTCATGGAGGTTGTTCTACTGTATTGGTGATAGAAACTGTCCTTTGTAGAGAGGTGTTCTCTAGCGGGAGTGTCCTCTCATGGAGGTTGTTCTACTAAATTGGTGATAGAAACTGTCCTTTGTAGAGAGGTGTTCTCTATCGGAAGTGCCCTCTCATGGAGGTTGTTCTACGGAATTGGTGATAGAAACTGTCCTTTGTAGAGAGGTGTTCTCTATCGGAAGTGCCCTCTCATGGAGGTTGTTCTACTGAATTGGTGATAGAAACTGTCCTTTGTAGAGAAGTGTTCTCTAGCGGGAGTGTCCTCTCATGGAGGTTGTTCTACTGAATTGGTGAAAGAAACTGTCCTTTGTAGAGAGGTGTTCTCTATCGGAAGTGCCCTCTCATGGAGGTTGTTCTACTGAATTGGTGATAGAAACTGTCCTTTGTAGAGAGGTGTCCTCTAGCAGGAGTGTCCTCTCATGGAGGTTGTTCTACTGAATTGGTGAAAGAAACTGTCCTTTGTAGAGAGGTGTCCTCTTGCGGGAGTGTCCTCTCATGGTGGTTGTTGTACTGTTTTTTTATTATTTTTATAGTGTATCAAGTATATATATATGGTAATTTAAACCAACAACCCCATACTGTCTATATAACTTGTAATAAGATTGCCATGTTGTATATAGAAACACATCTATAAATAATTATGCGCATGATTAATCTGTGTCATTGCATCACCTATGTAATGTTATTTGTACAAAGTGGATAAATAAATAAAATCTGTAATAGTTTTAAAAGTTGAGCTAAAGCAGAGATCGAGCATAGTATTGCCAAAACAACAGAGTCTAAAGATGGGAGTCATAAATCAGGTAGATTCACAGTTCCCACGACAGGCCACCCACACTGTCACATGTGGTGGAATGCAGAGACCCCTCTCACACCTGGACAGGTAAAGGCGCCCTTTCTCAAACGCCCCTGTCACATAAGGTCCCCCCCCCCCCCCCCCCCCCCCGTCTTTTAAGCTATAAATACATCACTTTTACAGGGACTTGACAGTTCAGTTCAGTTTAGTTTAATTCACCCTCAGCGAAGCTCACGTCGGTTGTCACCAAGGTCCTCCTCATTCACCATGTAGACTAGTAAGGACTCTTCTATCTCCAGCTTTCGCTCCCGGCTCAACTTTTATCTGTTAACGGAACTTTCTTAGTGCAACTGTGTCTTCGTTTTTTGTGTGGATATCCCTAGCTTTCCACTCTGCCTCGACCACGACTGCCTGTATTTTGTGAGAACTTTTAAAGGTCTTCCAAGGTGCAGAGAGGTACTGGAAAACTCTACATCCTGACTGTTCCTCTTGGTCAACACAGTACAACAAGAGCTACCAGGACTTCAACTTTTATTTCAGTAGTCGACAGGATCTCTACAAAAGCTACTGGAATTCTCTCAACATTACATGAGTCGACAGGATCTCATCACAGATAAGTCGACAGCAACTCATCATCACATATATACACTATCTTGTATCATATAATCTACACAATAAATACCCCAAAATATGTATAAATGTTAAAATACTTTATATATATGTATTTGATTTAAAGTTCGTGTGTTCAATTTGCATACAAATATCGACTTCTATTTGCATATTGTCAGTTATGCCCTAACTACTATATGATAGAAAAACCTAATTTATATATACCTAGAAATATATCCTTTTCATTATATTTGAGTGAACAACGTGTTTAATTTGCATAACTCTTGATGTTCATATTGTGAGGTATAGCTTGTTGTTACATATTGGCACAATATGATATATAAGACCAACTCGGTAAGTTGGTGATGTCATGGAAGTTTGATGTTTTGTTTCCTGGATTGTCACATGTTTAGTGGATGGTTACAATTATGGAGATATTGGGGTAATATGCATATTTGGTACATGTCATGTTGGCTGTAAACTTGAGAAAGATTTAAGGTATCTTTAGTCTGGAATCTAAAAATTGTTGACTGTTCCACTCAAGTTAATTTTCTTGTAATTATTTTATTCAAATCAAGTTATAAACGTATCAACCTTTTTTGAAGTTTATTAATCTAACCTTTCGACTACCCACTATCGACCTTTTTCAAAGATGGAACACTTATTAATTCTACAACTTGGGAATTGATCAAACTCCAACCTACCATTATATCTAGTTTCTATGTTATATAAGGGATGAACTAGAAAGCTGTCATAAATTGCATATGGCATCTTAATTTTGTACAATGCATTACCTAGATGATATATATAGATTGTTTCATAAGGTATAAATATCTGATTTATCAAACCCTAAACTCTCTCCCTCTCTGTGATAGTAAAATTTTATCTAATTAATTTATTAATAAACATAATTTACCTGGTATATATATAAATGGTACATAACAACAGAAAACTTGTGGACAAAGCATAAGGAAGTGAAACGTCTTTGATGTCGCTAGTTGTCTTTTTTTTTTTTTTTTTAAGAAGACAGAGGTAGTTTTGTTCACACTTGGTTATCTCGTGTGTCTTCAATAAAGATCACTGTAATATCTTTCAGAGTTATTGTCTGAATCCTGATATACATGCTAAAAGATACAACTTCCTTAAGTTTTGTCCATGACGGTATTTACAAAGCTTTTGGTGGAATGAAGGATGTATAAAATAGCTGAACGTATACCGTCTGGTTTACTAGAATATATGAGAAACTCTATTTATTGATCGTAAAATCCAATTAAAAGACTACAATATATATTACAGGTAAATCCATATTCTTATATTCCTCTCTAACCTGGGAATTTGTTGATGAAAATTCATGAATGTCGTTATCAGTTTCTACAGATTCACTTTGAGAACAGTATTCTGATATATCTGGCATGATTACATAACAGCTTGAAACATTCTAGCTTGAATAAATATTTATCTACTAATAGATGACGTCTACAATCTACATCTGGAGTGGTTTGGACATTTCTTGTGGCTTACTTCAACTGGCTTGTCCTCTACTGTCCTACCAGCGGTGTAAGGAAAACCAACAGTCCGATACTGACGACAACACATCAGCCAGATCTTACATTCTTACAAAAAGTGCACATTATAAAGCATCAAAAAATAGCACAATCGTATTTTCCATACAAAGTAAAATAGCATCTACGATCTTTATTCTTTTCAATCATAACACATTTCTTTAAAAGTAATAAATACAAGCACCTGTCTTATAACAGGAAAATGCACATTAAAAAAGCCTCGAAGAATATTACAATGGTATTTTCCATACAAAGTACCATCGTATGGTTTGAAGTCGTTTCAATCATAGAACATTTCCTTAAAGGTAAATAAATACAAGTACAAACTTGCCTGATGACATAAAAGTATATATTACAACGCATCAAAAATAGTAGAATAGTATTTTCCATACAAAGTACAATAACATCGTATAGTTTGGAGTCGTTTCAATCATAGAACATTTCTTAAAGGTACAAGTACCTGCCAGATAAGATAAAACTCTAACTGGCCGAAGTGTCTATTTTTTACAGAAATATGAATGCTGGCAACTTCAATCTTCAAGATAAGAAGGTTCACATTACAAAGCGTTAAAGGATATTATATAGACATGGTACAGTACCATATGTAACGTCCTCGTGTTTGTTAGTTGACGCTAAGGCTGGTTAAACCGTTTGGTTTTCGACCACTACGACCCGGGTTCGATTCCCGCATTGGACACTTTTTTCTGTTAGAAAAAAATGCTCCAATGGCCCCCGATTCTTGCAAAAGTCCAACCCCACCAGCGAGTGCAAGTAACCAAACGGGGCTCTGGCACATTTGTAAGTGCAAAGTCGAACTGCTTTTCACATGTGTAGACATGTGGTGCGCTTACAGTAAAAGCAGTCGCTAACTACCCACCATGATTATCATGGCCTGTACCACGTGTACTAGGGATACTATAGAAGAAGAAGCAAGAAGTATCTGGAAGTTTAAAAAGAAAAGTATTTATTTACTTTATTCTAACATCAGACATGTGGATATATATTACAATAAGTCCACAGAGTACCATCAGTGATGTGCTCACAGATAATTTACTATACATCCTGTAGGTAGCTGCCGTTACACCATGGATGGGACCACCACACTCTCCCTAAGAACCCTGCTATCGAGGCCAATGACCCTGAAACAACCCTTGACCTTCCTACAGTCGTTTGATACCATCTCGGCAATGTTGCCAGATTCGCCTTCCTCTTCTCACTGAATATTCTATATATAAAAGATACTTATTTTATATTTATCTTTATTATTATTATTATTATTTTATATTTAAGAAAATAAACAATTTTTAAAGAAATTTTTACTCAAACTTATAATAAATATGAAAGAAAAAAAATAGTAGATAAGTAAATTTTCTTAAACAAATTTTCTTTTGATAAAAAAAGCAACGAATTGTTACTTGTAAGTTTGTAAAATATTTTAACAAGCACACTCTTGGACAAAACTTAAGGAAGTTGTACCTTTTAGCATGTATATCGGGATTCAGACAATAACTCTGAAAGATATTACAGTGACCTTTATTGAAGACACACGAGATAACCATGTGCGAAAAAAACTGCCTCTGTCTCCTTTAAAAAAAAAAAATAAATAAATAAACAGACTACCGGCGACATCAAAGACTTTCCACTTCCCTAAGTTTTATCCGTGTGTGAATGTATATCTAATATAAAAGATATTGTTGTTTATGTGATTATGTTCCTCATGTATATATATCCACTGTTCTTGTTTTTCGACTAATTACACTTGGATTATATTGGGCTTTAATACTTAGGTTTTTTTCCATGATTGTTAGAGAGGTTAAAACATAAGCATGTTCACTCTGATCGCATAATTCATTGCTTTTATTAAAGACTAGCCGAATGACCCGGGCAACGCCCGGGTTTTACCCGATTAAATGTTTTTATTCAAATACTATTCGTTACAATTATAAATTGGCGCCGTGGATTTCATTCTTGGATAATATATAAATGAGTCTTAAAAATTGTAAAAAAAAAAAATGCATCGGCCGGGAATCGAACCCGGGCCGCCCGCGTGGCAGGCGAGCATTCTACCACTGAACCACCGATGGTTATGAGAAATGGCCATATTTGGGTATTTATTCCATTCACAAAAGCAAACGGTGACAGAATTGATTAAGGAAGATTTGATTATGACGCTGATAACTGTTTATATTAATGATGTCTTACTTCTTTATACTAATATTTACATATATTCGATATGTATTTATTACCAAGTGTAGGGCATATAAGAACTTAGTCCAATACAATATTGAAGCGGTTTGGAGATTAAACCCTCTGGGAGGGTTCACCAATGATGAGCCATGCCCTCCGTCTTTCAATTTTTATTCATTGTAGGATAAGAGGACTGTAGAAATAATTGTAATTATATATATATTTTTTTAAAAAGCCTTAAAAATATGTTTACAATTTTCATATTAATATATTTTTATTATTAACATATTTTATTTTTAAAACAGATGAGTGGAAATATGTCTATAGAAAGTGCGTGACACCCAATAAGAACTGGTGTCATAAGGGTATAAGCTTTTAATAAGGTTACAAGCTGAAGACTCTAAATAATTAATAAATGAAATTTGTTAAAAAACAATAATAAACATTAAGAGGAGCCTCTTGTGTAAATTTCTTTAATACCGCAAGCTTTCGAACAAAACGTTCTTCAACGGGCGTGGATAGTAAACCGTACTTAAACAGTACGGTTTACTATCCACGCCCGTTGAAGAACGTTTTGTTCGAAAGCTTGCGGTATTAAAGAAATTTACACAAGAGGCTCCTCTTATTGTTTATTATTGTTTTTTAATGATCGTGATTTTAAGAGTTTTAATCCTACAAATGAAATTTGTCTCCATATTTTACTATTTTTAAGACATATCATATCTGAAATCTAATCGTTCATTACATGCCATGAGAAAATTCACAAACCCAATTCCACGCTTTCAACTCTTTTTGGATTTTCCACTCATCTATTTACATATTCATCATATTTAAACCCCTCCCTTTAAATATGTATTGAAACAATGTATTTTTCTCACCCCAATATAAAACGTAATGGTGGTGATAAAAGAATTGGAGACAACACACTAGTTTTGGCGAATACAGACAACAGCCAACAACCAGTATACCATGGTACCAGGCTATGTCCCTCATCAGTACAGGGACATAACATCCTACGAGAGGAGTTATGGAATCTGTCCAATTTACCAAACAGGTGTTAAACAGGCCAATAATTGAATATAAAATAATTATAACTGAACAGAATGGAGAGACTGTTGACATTGTCTGTAGGAACTACTTGCTACAAGATGTTATAGAAGGTGTCTGGAATAATCCAAATAACTGACATCACCAAAGGTCATCACCAAATATAACAACTGGCCAATAACTGAACAGAATGGAGAGAGACTGTTGTCTGTAGGAACTACTTGCTACAAGATGTTATAGAAGGTGTCTGGAAGAATCCAAATAACTGACATCACCAAAGGTCGGCCATATCACCAAATATAACAACTGGCCAATAACTGAACAGAATGGAGAGAGACTGTTGTCTGTAGGAACTACTTGCTACAAGATGTTATAGAAGGTATCTGGAAGAATCCAAATAACTGACATCACCAAAGGTCATCACCAAATATAACAACTGGCCAATAACTGAACAGAATGGAGAGAGACTGTTGTCTGTAGGAACTACTTGCTACAAGATGTTATAGAAGGTGTCTGGAAGAATCCAAATAACTGACATCACCAAAGGTCATCACCAAATATAACAACTGGCCAATAACTGAACAGAATGGAGAGAGACTGTTGTCTGTAGGAACTACTTGCTACAAGATGTTATAGAAGGTGTCTGGAAGAATCCCCAAATAACTGACATCACCAAAGGTCGGCCATATCACCAAATATAACAACTGGCCAATAACTGAACAGAATGGAGAGAGACTGTTGTCTGTAGGAACTACTTGCTACAAGATGTTATAGAAGGTGTCTGGAAGAATCCAAATAACTGACAACACCAAAGGTCGGCCATATCACCAAATATAACAACTGGCCAATAACTGAACAGAATGGAGAGAGACTGTTGTCTACTTGCTACAAGATGTTATAGAAGGTGTCTGGAAGAATCCCCAAATAACTGACATCACCAAAGGTCGGCCATATCACCAAATATAACAACTGGCCAATAACTGAACAGAATGGAGAGAGACTGTTGTCTGTAGGAACTACTTGCTACAAGATGTTATAGAAGGTGTCTGGAAGAATCCAAATAACTGACATCACCAAAGGTCATCACCAAATATAACAACTGACCAATAACTGAACAGAATGGAGAGTTGTCTGTAGGAACTACTTGCTACAAGATGTTATAGAAGGTGTCTGGAAGAATCCAAATAACTGACATCACCAAAGGTCGGCCATATCACCAAATATAACAACTGGCCAATAACTGAACAGAATGGACTGTTGACATTGTATGTAAGAACTACTTGCTACAAGATGTTATAGAAGGTATCTGGAAGAATCCAAATAACTGACCAAAGATCGGCCATATCACCAAATATAACAATAACTGAACAGAATGGAGATAAAGTGTTGCCATTGTACATATTAGGTCCCACTAGAATGTTAAAAATAAGAAGAAAAAAAAACTTCCACAAAAAGAGAATCAGGATACGTTTAATCCGGTGTTGAAATCGAGGGTCGTTATAAATTTCCCCATTTAAGGTACTAGACGAAAAATCCAAAAAGCGGAGAATTCCAGAGTGCGACCCACTTTGGATGAGGAAAATTTAATGGCGTGTCAAAAATGGCCCTGTCAATCGTCAAAAATGAAAATATTATTTTATAATATCATTGAAAAAGATTTTTATATATAATGTTCTTGTTAGGTATCTATTTTAAAAATATTTTTATTTTCACTTATCTGGAATTTTCCTTAGTAAAATATTTTTCAATTTGCATATCTTCTATTATGTAAATATGAACAACCACTCTATCCATCTATCGGAACAATTAAAAATAAACTTATTTATATAATAAGTTTTTGCGAAATAATGCAAATTTAAAATCTCTTAAATTTTAATTTATTAAAAGGTCCATAACCAAATTTGATTAAATGTTATTCATAGAATAATCCATTTCGTCGGCTGACATTATATCAATCAAAATAAAACGATAAAGGCGTCTGCCTCTATTTATAAACTCCAACAATGATGACAGAAATTAGGCCAAAAGACGGAGGTTTATACCCCTAGATGTTCTTCTGCTAAAAATATACTTCCCATAATCTTTTGAAATCCTTTTTTTTTATAACAAATTTATTTTCCTTTTTATTTCACGTAAATTTATCGTTTGTTTCTTAAGCCGATTAGAGTTGATTGTTTCGTAAAAAATAAATACATTTTGGTAAATCTTTTGCTAAAAATCTGATTATATATATACAAAACAACTCTAAAGAAGTATTTAAACGTTTTTAGAAATTTATAGATTTTTTAAATTATTTTATTTTGGAGTTATAATCCTATCAGTTGAAAAGCATAGCATTTTATGACAGAAATTATTTTTTTTTTACAAATATAGAGATACATTTGTGTTTAAAATAAGGCACAAATAAATGTACTGTATTAATGTACCAAAGCTAGGGTTGTGACTCAATCTTTATCATCACAC